TAAATGTCCATCGACGGAGGAATGGGTAAAACTGTGGTGGTACCTATATACAAGGGAATATTACTCAGCCATAAAAAAGAATGAAATAATGCCATTTGCAGCAACATGGTTGGACCTAGGGATTATTATACTAAGTGAAGTAAGTCAGAGAAAGAAAGGCAAATATCATATGATATCATTCATATGTGGAATCTAATTTAAAAAAAGAAAGAAAAGAAACAAATGAACTTATTTACAAAACAGAAATGGACTTACAGATATCAAAAACAAACTTATGGTTACCAAAGGGGAAACATAGGGGGTTGGGAGGGATAAATCAGAAGCCTGGGATGAATACACACATACACTACTACATGTAAGATAGATAACCAACAAGGACCTACTGTATAGCACAGGGAATTCTATTCAGTATTCTGTGATAACTTATATGAGAAAAGGATCTAAAAAAGCATGAATATATGTACATGTATAACTGCATCGATATTCTGTGATAACCTATATGAGAAAAGAATCTAAAAAAGCATGAATATACGTACATGTATAACTGAATCACTTTGCTGTACACCTGAAACTTACACAACATTGTAAATCAACTATACTGCAATAAAATAAAATAAAGCAACAAAGCAACACACACACACACCAAAAATAAGAATTGAAAGCAGTGTCTCAAGAGATATTTGCAATCCCATGTTCACTGTAGCCTTATTCACAATAGCCAAGAGGTAGAAACAACCTAAATGTCCATCAACAGATGAACGGATAAAGAAAATGTGGTATATACATACAATGGAATATTATTCAGCTTTTAAAAAGGAACGAAATCCTGTAATATGCTACAACATGGATGAGCCTTTCACTTATCATATGAAGTGAAATAAGCCAGAAAGACAAATGTTGCATGATTCCACTTATATAAGGTATTTAAAGTAGTCAAACTCATAGACTTTCTGCAGAAAGCAGAATGATGACTGCCCAGGGGGCTTGCAGGAGGGGAAAATGGGAAGTTGCTGTTCAGTGGATACAGAGTTTCACTTACTCAAGATGAAACAGTTCTAGAGAACCACTCTACAACAACGTACCCATAGTTAATAAAACTATACTGTATATATCTCATTTTTAAAATAAAAAGGAATGTATAAGAGAATATTTGGGGGCATGGGGATGGGCACAGGGAGAAGGGACTAGACTAGGGGAGGAATCCAGGCAAAAAAAGGAACAAGTACAAAGGCCCTGAGCTAATAACCTATTCAAGGAACTGAAAGAGGTCCGTTACAACTCAGGCATGGTGAGTAAGAAGGAGAGTCATAATGGATGAAAACTAGAAATGCAGCAGGGTCTGGTCGAGCAGGACTTACAGGTCATGTTAAAAGATTTGAATTTTATCCCCAAAACAATGGAAAGTTTCTAAATGGTTTTAAGTAAGGGAATAACAATCTGATTCATGTTTGGGAATGATCACTCTTTTAACAGACTTGCTTTTCTCTGTAATGCAGCGGTCCCAACCCTTTTGGCACCAGGGACTGGTTTTGTGGAAGACAGTTTTTCCACAGATGGGGTGGGGGGATGGTTTCAGGATGATTCAAGCACATTACATTTATTGTGTGCTTTATTTCTATTATTATTACATTGTAATACATAATGAAATAATTATACAACTCACCATAATGCAGAATCAGTGGGAGCCCTGAGCTTGTTTTCCTGCAACTAGATGGTCCCATCTGGGGGTGACGGGAGACAGTGACACCCAAAGTGTGTTGCTTATGCCCAGTCTACTCCATAATCTCATTTTGGTTGCTGTCACTGCAGAAAACCCTGCTTCATAAAGACAGGATGTTGGAAATGGAAGCAGCCTTTTCAGTGCTTTTGTCGCAATCTCACGATATTCCACCTTGACTTTCATCCAGAATGTATGGAGATCTGAGGTTGTCTCAAACATATTTTTAAGGCCACCGTCATTTGCAATCTCAAGCATTTGATCCTCTTCTAGCACAGACAAAGTCGATTCACCTGGCTTATTCACAAATGGGTCACAGATCCATTCCTTCCCAGTTCAGTCTTCTGTGGTTGGGAAGTAATGCTCAAACTCTTTTGAAAGCTGAGATAGGTGATCACGCACCAGCTGGGAGAAAGAAGGCCCTGGCTCAGTCTCTTTCAAAATCTCTGCTAATGTTTGAAACATGTCAAAATTCCCAATGTTCACTTGTTGCCCCCATAATTCCAGTTTGGCTTTGAATGCAGCCACTTTATCTGCCGACTTGAACACAGTTGTCCTTCTCCCCTGAAGTGACAGAATGAGTTCGTTGAGCAGGTTGAGTATGTCACACAAGTAAGCAAGTTTTGCGACCCATTCTGTGGCACTGAAATGTGCTGCCAGTGGTGACCATTTTTCTAAAAGAAATCTCTGGAGTGGTTCTCATAACTCAGAAACTCTGGCCAGTGATCTACCTTTAGAAAGCCATCTCACTTCTGTGTGTAAGAGAAGACGTGTGTGCTCTGCATCTTCCTCCTCACAGAGCTGCGTGAACAGATGTGAGTTAAGGGCATGTACTTTAAATATGGCTGATAATTTTAATCACATCCTGCAAAACGCTCTTAAGTTCAGGTGACATTTTTCAGCTAGCCAGCATTTCTCTACGGATGATACACTGCGTAGACTTACATTTGAGAAATGACCTCTTTGACCCGAGTTGAGAAACCAGAAAGCCATCCAGTCATGGCAGCTGCTCCGTCCATGCATATACTGACACAAAATGACCAATTCAGTTTTCTTGATATGTAATAATTCAAAGACTTGAATAGTTCTGCAGCTGTAGTGTTGGCTGGCAACAAAAGTGCACATAACATACCCTCATGCACATCCTCCTGAAAAATGTATCGCACAAAAACAAGCACTGTTGCCTTGTTGTCAACATCGGTAGACTCGTCAACCAGGATTGCGTACCACGGTGACTCATTAATCCTCTTAACAATTATGCCTCAATATCCTCTGCTATTTCATCAATTCATCTAGTTATGGTGCTAGCTGAAAGAGGAACACGTGCCACCTTCTGAACTGCAGCCTCTCCTAAAAGTTCACACCAAATGTCCTTAGCAGCAGGCAGGATCAACTCTTCACCAATAGTAAAAGGCTTCTTAGCTTTAGCAATGCGGTTAGCCACTAAGAATGATGCTCTCAGTGCAGACACATTCGATGAAGTGGTGGCCTTCAATAATTACTTCTATTCTTGTGTTCACATTGTTTTCTTTAGAAAAACTCCAAAGGCTTGTCTTTAATGTAGGGTGCTTGGTCTCCATGTGGCAAAGCAGTTTTGAAGGCTTCACAGGTGCATTGGATAACCGGTTGCCACATATTATACAAAGCGGGGTTGGAGAATGTCAATCACCTGTTGCAATGAACCTGTAATTTAAGTAGAACTCTTGGTATTTTCTTTTAAATGCAGCTTTCTTTTTGTTGGCAACCTTAGACTCTTCTGCTGTCTCATCATTGGGTCTTCCCCCTTTTCAAAGAAGCTCTCCAGCGACGTTTGTTTTTTACTCATTTTGGCTAGGGTTAGCTTGTGGGCTTAACAAAACTTTGAGACAAGCGCGCAGAGTGGGAAAGAGGCGCGGATAGAAGTGGTAAATAAAATAATGGGCGGGCCACTCATGGACTAAAATAAGTGTTGGATTCTGACTTAAAGCCTGCCACCAGATGCAGCTGTACAATTGAAGTACATCAACTCACTTGCCACTATAAAGCCTTGCTTAATTGTCACTTGCCACTCACTGATAGGGTTTTGATATGAGTCCGCAAGCAACTGATTTATTACGGTCTCTGTGCAGTCAAACCTCTCTTCTAATGATAATCTGTATTTGCAGCTGCTCCCCAGTACTAGCATCACTGCCTCAGCTCCACCTCAGATCATCAGGCATTAGATTCTCATAAGGAGTGCGCCCTAGATCCCCTTAATTGTCACTTGCCACTCACTGATAGGGTTTTGATATTAGTCCGCAAGCAACTGATTTATTACGGTCTCTGTGCAGTCAAACCTCTCTTCTAATGATAATCTGTATTTGCAGCTGCTCCCCAGTACTAGCATCACTGCCTCAGCTCCACCTCAGATCATCAGGCATTAGATTCTCATAAGGAGTGCGCAACCTAGATCCCTCGCACGCGCCGTTCACAATATGGTCTGTGCTCCTATGAGTATCTAATGCCACTGGTGATCTCACAGGAGGTGGAGCTCAGGCGGTAATGCAAGCGATGGGGAGCGGCTATAAATACAGATGAAGCTTTGCTCGCTTGCCCGTCGCTCACCTCCTGCTGTGCATCTCAGTTCCTAACAGGCCACAGACTGGTACCTCAATTAATAAAATTAAATAAAATTAGGAAAGGATCTCCCCAAAAAGAAACAAAGGCAAAATTTCAGAAATATCTAAAATTTAGATATAAGGCAAAACCGTATTAAAATAGAAATTAATACAATTTCTAGTTCTGCAACATGGATCAAATAATCTGAATCAAACATGAATTCAACATAGCTTCTCTACAGAATTTTGGTAAAGTTTGTCTGAAAATGGCAGGCATACACTATGAGTCTCCTTTGAGAGAACAGTACTACAGCATTTATTTAGCTGGCAGGGAGAAGAAGTGATGGAAATGTCTTATTTCTGATTTCTCATTAATCATAGTATTAAAAATGAAGGAGCTTCAGCTATAAAGTCTGATATCAATATACTTAATAATTCTGGTATTTTTTTAAGCTCTGAGATGCTTGATTTGTATCTGCCCTAAAACAGCTTCATATACCATTCTGCATATGTGGAACAAAAAAAAATTATTCTCAAACTTACCTCAATCTAAAGACAGTATTTAAAATTAGAACACAATAATCTGTATGAAACAATATCAATTTTTTTTTCCTTCTTGTCAGCAGTCAACTCAAAACAAAAGAATATAAACTGAATGTTTACCTAATGAATTATTTGTGGAGGCTATATGGTAGGAAAAACCTTACCAACGGTACAGCTGTCTTCAAGTACCACATCAACATTTCTGTCTCTGTACTCAACCCTGAAGTCCAGCATCCGAGGTTGCCTTTCTACAATTTGCCTAGATGGCATTACAGGTCGAAATGCTGAAGAAGAAGAGGGAGCAGAAGCAGGAGCTGGAGCTGAGTGACTTGATGGATCAAATGCAGGTCCTGATATAGGCTCACCCCCATAGTCACTGAAATATTGACATAAAAGAAGGATTATCATCAACCAAATAACTACAGATTACCACTAAGGACACACTCCATACAGTAAGTCCCACACATACAAACCTTCAAGTTGCGAACTTTCAAAGATGCGAAAGTATTATAAACCTATTACAGCACAATACTATATGGCCAATTGTGTTAGTTGGGTACCTAGGCTAACTTTGTTGAACCTAGGAACAAACTGGACTTATGAAAGCACTCTCGAAACAGAACTCATTTGTACAGAGGGGACTTAACTGTACTTGGCTTGTGTTGTTCTTCATATCAAATTTACCTACCTGTGCATCATGGACTAAGTAAGTTCTAATTCTTCCACAAAATCTCTCCCAATGACTGAAAGCCACATTACTCTCCCTCCCATCCTTGCCTTTCTATGTCTGTTAGCTGTATCACACATATCTCATTTAATTAGATTTTTGCCTTATGCTGTTATGATGCTAATAAAACATCATTTTAAACTCTGTGAATTACTAACAGTGTCTTCTTAACCCACTCTCATTTACTTACCAAATCATTAATTGATTCATTAACTCTACTTTCCACAAAAACTATTCTGAAACTTTACCATCCTTAAACCTCCATTCTCCCTCTCACTCCTCAGTCTTAAAATATATTTTTCCTACTTTGCAGAGAAAACAGATGCCATCAAGAAGAAATTCCCTTACCCTTCTAACATCAAATCCACAAACTAACCTGCATATGCACTCTTTCTCTAAATAGAGAAGACATCGTTCTATCTACGCATCTACTCATTAGCTTTATATTATGGATTATCCCTTTCCCTTCCATTATCTTCAACATCTCCTTCTCTTCTGGATTCTTCTCAGAAACATTTAAACATGGTTGAATCTCTCCCTTCTTAAAGAATAAAAATGAAATTGTGGCTCTGTCCACTTAATAGCTGTCTCATTTGTAAAATAGGAAAATTAATTAAATTTGTAAGGATTAGATCAAATAATGTGTATGAAAAGCTTAGCACAATGCCTAGTACTTAGTAAGAGCCCAAACCTCAAACCCAGTATAGCCAAAGTTTAAACCATTAATGTTTCCCCAAGCCTGATTTTCCCATTTATTCCACATATTAGCTACCCAAGCTAGAAACCTCTGGCATTATCCTCGCCCTCTTTTTCTCTCTCAACTCCCACATCTAACTAGTCCTTTCAGTTTTACCTCCTAAATATCTTTTAGATAAGTCATCTACTTTTCCCCTCCGAAGCTGCCACCCTAGTCCAAGCCACAGTCACCTCTTACACGGATTATTGCAATAGCCTAACTAATCTCTCCATACATACCCTTACCCCCCTGCATTTCATCCCATACCACCGCTAGAGTGAAATTAAAGACAAATGTCTTCATATCATTTTCTTCTATACTCCTCTTTGCTCTTCATATAAATGGTCAAAGTGGCGTACAAGGCCCTATATGATCTGAATCCTATCTACCTTCCCATCTTCATCTTGTGCTACGCTATCTCCATCTCTCTATGCTAATAGCCAGAACAGCTTTTTGTTTTTTGTCTTACCTTGATCCTTCCTATTTCAAGAGGTAATATAAAAATTATTCCTTCTAAGACTATTCTTTCCTTCCCATCCCATCCCCAAATTCCATCTTTCTTCTAGCTAACTATATTTATCTTTCATATCTCAGATTGAGTATTTTTCAACTCAGAGCATGTTTTACTACCTCAGACTAGTTCTAACATCGCACTACTATCAATAATTATGAAGCTCACATTTGTGTTTTTAATGGCTGTATCATCTGCTGAGTTCAAGATTTTATACATAGAAGATATACAAATATTTGACAAACTAATGAGTAGAGAAATAATTATGAAGAATTTGGATTTTTTTTTCTCTGACTTAAGTTATCACATATATATATAGTCACTGTTTTTCCCCCCTCAGTAGGAAAAGGAGGGAGGGAGGAAACATAAGAAATGCTCCCATTAAATATCATTATTGTATAATTTTTCTCCACCACCAGAACTACAAGCTCAGTTCTAAAATATCTTTCTTCTCACCCTGAATTTAAAGAAAAATAATGTGTTGGGGGCCCGAATAGGAACAACAACAAAAATGACCAAAAACTTGCCAAGTTAAGCATTGTTTATACAATTAAGAAGGAGAGAATATTTACATTTACTTCACACTGTTGCTTTGATCAGTGTTTATCAAATTATAGATTACATAATTGATTGAGTTGTGGTAAGTCTTTTAAAGAACACAATCAGAATAAGATTAAGAATAGAAAAGGATAGGATAGAATAGGATAGAAATTATCAGTATCTTTCACTAAATAGTTAGGACCAAGTATTATTTCATAAAACTCTTGATTCTGGGACATATTTGTAATATGTGTATTTTGGATTGCAAATATTTCTCATTGTAGGTCTTGTCAAAAAAGTTTGAAAGTGACTAGCTTAGATCTCACCAGAGTTCAGACACTCTAATCACTGATCCAAAGACAAAAACCTATCCATTCTCCCAGTTGTCAGAGTCAAGGAAAGTAATGTGGGAAGGAAAACATGAGAACAGAGAAAATGTCCAAAGCAGGAAGAATGTCACTGTTTGGAAGCCAAAGTGAGCTTCTAGGCATCTATGAACAGAATCTGTGCAATAATATTTCACATATCTAAATGTTGTCACAACTTCTCAGAACCTAAGAAAAACAGCTAATTAGCAGTTTGGTCACTGACATTGTTTTCCTAACTCCAAATTCATCCTTCTATAGTCTATTCTGTAATACAGGGGCTAGGATTCTGCAAAATTATTTTTCCTTTGGCATATGGTTTCCTGATAGACCTTTGTCAAATAGAGGATACTAGGTAGAGATTAGTAGTTAGGAGGAGGGGAGGAAAGACTTCCTTCTTCCTGTTTGCATGCATTTCAATCAGCATCACCCTACAGCTTTCAGTCTCCTGCTTTTTTCAGCACTCTTATAACCAGCTTCTTGTCACTCCCTCTGAGATATCACTAATGGCTGGACAGTATACATTCCACAGAGGTCTGATCCTCAGCTTCAAAGAGCTCCTCTGAGTTCCAAAGTTCTGTTAATCCCTTTGTTCCCTAGACCTTCAAGCAGTAACTTCCTGAAGCAGTTATTGTATCTAGGTTACTTCAGTTTTACTTTTTTGCTCTTTTAGTCTTCCACACCTGTGTAACCAATCCTACATTAAATTCCCTCTGTTAAAAATACCCTAGTGTGGTTTCATCTTCTTGATAATGGAGGTGCCCCAGGAAACAAAGGATTCAGGAACTGGCTTGATTATGGCCTTGACCTTCAATGCACTGCTGAGCTCCTTCCCAATGGAAAATGGGATACTAGTGATCCAAGCCATGCACTAGCATAATGATTAATTATCATTATTGAAACAAGTGCTGAAGGGAACCAAATGACTATCTGACCTGACCATTATGGTGGTAATAATGATGACAAGAACTATGAGCAGGCTGCTTCTGACTCTAAAGGAGAGCTTACAGAATAAAATGACACACGGGGTTTTTAAATTTCAGTTCAATTCATGATAAGAAAGTTACAGAGTTTCTGAAGTGGCACTTTAAAAACAGATTCTTATTTCTTGTAACCACAGGTATGATCTTCCTAAGAACTGGACTCAGAGTTTAATTTTGCAGCTTGCATACTTACAGTGAAAGTTGAATATACATACTTCCTAAGTCTCTTTTGCGAAAGTTAAGGCACTGTTGTGGAAGGAGTGAGAACCTAAGATGTGAAATGGGGATACCTGAGCGGATTCAGATGAATGTTGGAATCTTGAACCCCTGAAGTCTCTCTGAGCCTCTTCTGTAAGCAGAAGCAGCTCCCCTCCCATGGGCTGAGATTAGCCTCTTTTTTTTTTTTTTTTGCGGTACGCGGGCCTCTCACTGTTGTGGCCTCTCCCGCTGCGGAGCACAGGCTCCGGACGCGCAGGCTCAGCGGCCGTGGCTCACGGGCCCGGCTGCTCCGCGGCATGTGGGATCTTCCCGGACCGGGGCACGAACCCGCGTCCCCTGCATCGGCAGGCGGACTCCCAACCACTGCGCCACCAGGGAAGCCCTGAGATTAGCCTCTTGCTTAAACTATGAATACTCTTACCTGAGACAGTTGCCTTGAAGGGGGATGTCTATTCTCAAAACCTACCTCCACCATTCCTTAGTACCTCTAAAATCAGAAGTAGGCATGTTCCAAGAAAATAAGTACGATGTCTTAACTGAGAAAAGACAGCTTATATCCAAAAGTAATTATAATATTTTGATAAATTATATCAGCAAAAACCTAGGGAATAGTTGTAGAAATGAATTTTAAGTGAGTTTGACCAAAAGAGTTTGAATAGGGCCAAATATAATATATTTGCTTAAGCAGTTGTAAGTACTTCTAATAGTTTCCTTGCCGACTGAATGAAACTTACATCCCAAAGGAGTCTACATTTAATGAGGAGGAAATGCCCAAACGTTCCTGGCAAAATGTAGAAGAAATCCGGATGCTTAGAAAAATATGAATGCTAAAGTGGATTAACCATGTACAACCTGAATATATTATACACACCCTCCTACTACATAATCCATGGGTTCCCAGAGAACGCTGCACTAAAGCACTGAAAAATACATTAGTGAGGGAATCTACATCCTTGAAAAACTCTGTAGTGTCTGTCTTCTGTGGGTTGGGAATAACATGGGGAGATGACACCACTGAAAAAGACTCCCTAATAGGCATGATGAGATCCCAGAGTGCATAGGTCAAACGGCAGAGTTTAACAAGAAAAAGGAGGGAGCAATGATGTTAACGGACAGCATGGACAAAATGTGGCAATCAGAAGATTTCAACCTGCAGAGACCTTTAGTAGTGCTTTATTAAACATGGCACTTCTAAGAAACAAAATGAAAAGTCAGTTGACTAAAATATTACTTGATCTATAAACAACAGAAACCTAGATCTGGCAGCCTAGATCCTAACTTCCATAACTATAATG